GGTGTCACCAGTCACCACGGCCGGTTTCATTTTTATATAGTTAATGCTCGTTGATTCTTGTGGAAGAACTGTTGCAACTGTCAATTTACAGGTATGATGTGTTCCTACGTGAAGGCTCTGGTGGTCCATTCACGATGGTCGAGTCAGTGGGACCAAGCGTGCTCTCATATAACCACACCGGTCTTGGTCCTGGCCACACTTACACTGTTAAAGTCATCGCTTACAATGGGAACTACGCCAGCTATGCTCCGGAGGCGAACGTGACCTTCATTACGGGATCACCACCGACCGCCATACTGACCGCTCCTACGTTCGTGAGTGGTCAGGTCTCGCCGACCCTGAGTTTGACCGTGGCCCATGGCGCTGCGGAGTCGCTGACACTGCCGGTCCTGGAGTACCAAGTTCTCATCAGACCGTGCAGTGTTGCGGGAAACGACACTTTCATATCGGCTCGTCTGGCTGGGTCGTTGACATTGACGACCGCTAACTACCCACAGCTTGCTACAGCGGTCGTGTATTGCATCAGGGCGCGCGCTTTTAACGTCAATGGTTGGAGCGGTTACAGTCCTACTGTGAGGCTCATGGTCTCGGACCTCCCTGGGGTGCCGACCACGTTGCAATTCGTGGAGGGAACTGCTAGTAGTCTTGAAATTGAGTGGACTCTGGTGGGGTCAGCGGTTGGTTCGGCGCCGGTGGTGGCTTTCGAGATCGCGTATGTGGATCTGACCGCGGATCCATTGACTGAGCTCAAGACTGTGGTCAGCGGCAGTGGTCGGTCGGCTGTGCTCGGTGGTCTTACTGCAGGTAACGTGTACCGAGTGATGGTCCGGGCGTGTAACTTGAACGGTTGTGGTGGTTACAGCTCGTACGTGGACCTGGTCTGTGGTGGTCTGCCTGACGCACCATCGGGACCAACACTGAGCAGTTCTACTGATGGTAGCGTTACTGTGGCCTGGACTTTCCCTGGAAGTAATGGCGGAGTACCAATACAGAAGTTCATCGTGTACAAGTCGGTCGACAGCGGTAGCTCGTACGGTCTGGATTCGTCCGTATCAGCGAGCACATTGATGCAGACGGTGAGTTGTAGTGCTGGTGGTTATATCATGGTCAAAGTGGCAGCGAGCAATGGTGTTGGTGGGGTGTATGCTTCGGAACCACTGGGACCTTTCTCGACAGCACTCGGGACCTATTGTGCGGCCAGACCGGACGCTCCAGTGAATGGTCCTAACGTAACGGCTAGTAGTGGTCTGTTGACGGTCTACCTACCGTCACCGACGCTGGCTCAGCTCCATGGTGTTGGTCACACTGGTTGGACAGTGTATGTTGATGATCTTGATGATGATGATGCTGAGTTCACCACCTTCAGAGTGTATGACAATAGCACGGCGTGGCTGAGAACGTCAACTGGAGTGGTAGTTGGTCACAGCTACCGAGCCTATGTGGAGGTGTGCAGTGTGGTCGGTTGTTCTGAGGGCAGTCCGGTCTCGGAGGCTGTCACTGCTGCTGATCCTCCGTCGGCCCCCACGAACGTTCATGCGACCAACACTACCAATACGGCGATTACTATCGAGTGGGACCACGATGGTCTTGACCGCGGTAGTTATATAACGGCGTGGCTGGTCTATACTAGTACGGATGGTAGCAACTTGAACCACTCGGCGACCATCGATAGTATGGCCAGTAATTTCACGAGTCGTACGTATGTCCAAGACTGTACTCTTGTTGGTGGGGTGCCGGGCTCAATGGAATATGTGTGGTTCGCTGTGGCGGCCCGGAACATGGTCGGGACCAGCAGTCAGAGTTCACCGGTGAGGGGATGGTTTGTTGGTGATATAATACTTTCTGTGAGGAATGAACATTAATTTTTTATAGATTTCAAAATTGAAAAATTACATTTTTTATTGAACTTTCACGTAAAAAACAACAAAAAAAATACTGAACATCTACATATAAACATTTATACAGAATTTTTGGGGAGTTTTGATACGGAAAGCACTAGTTAAAAACATATTTCACAAACCACTGCTTAACGCGAATATCGGGTTTTTCACAGTATTATGCCACTTCACGTAAACGGGTCGTGAACTCCAGTGTGAATTATGAAAGTGTATTAATGGTAAAAATTATGAGAAATTTCGGTGTATGTATTGGAGTTTCACCACGACCCTAGTGATATGAAAAACACTAGTGAAAAATATATTTCACGACTACTGCATATCACCGCGAATATCGCGTTTTTCACCGAGTTTTATGACGCCACTTCGCGTAAAACGGGTCGTCGTGAAACTCCATTGATATTCATATATAATAATATTAGTGAGATGTAAATATAACGATAAACCAAAGGGATCAGTAGAATAGCCATATCAACTACAGGGATGTATAAAAATAATGTGTTGATGTTAAATAGTGATGGTTGGTTTTTTTTGGTGAAGGGTCTGGTTTTAGGTAGCTGTTCATTGCAGTGGACCACCGCGAACGCCGACCGTAGCTCCATATTTGGTGACCACATCGGCAAGTGCTATCACTGTGGGTTGGTCCTTACCTCATGCTACGACTGATCTATATGGAGCGCAGTACACTGGGGTAGAGGTATGTATTGATGATGACGATAACAATACTGGGGACAGGGTCTGTGTAGACGTTGACAGCACAGTGCAGACTACTCATCAGTTTGGCTCATTGGAAGCTGGTCTGACGTATTTGCTGGCGTATAGGTTGAGGACCGTTTCGGGTGGTAGCGGCTGGTCACCGACAGTTTCTGTTGTGGCTGCAGCGGTGCCGGAAGGTCCTAGAAATGTGAGAGTTATAAACGTTAGTGATAATTGGGTGAGAATCGGATGGAATAACACGGGTTACAACGGCGGGTCACCAGTGAGCTCTAATACTGTGTATAAGTCTATCGATTATGGTAGCACCTGGTCTATTGTATCGTCATCAATCGCCCCCAACGTATTGGTGGCTGACTCCAGCTGCACGCAGGCACAATACGTCTACTTGTACGTTACTGCGACCAATCTGGCAGGTAGCGGGTCTTGCTGTGGTTCTTTCGGAGGGTTGAAGCGCACTTGAAAACAATGCATTAGATCGGTCGGGAAATATGTTTAGAAATATATAACGTAGTTATGGATAGATAGACGACAATGGATCGTAAGCTCTGAGGACGGACAGGACAATCGGGTCAAGAGTAACAGTATTGTCATGTTTAGAGCTTCGGTCGGAACACTGGTTGACTCAAAAACCATAAGATGAGCAGAAAAATATATAGTTGATCAATTAGTCATTCATGTACCCGAGTATCTTGTGGGAGTTTCAACGAAGATACGTTGGTCTGGCGCTGCTTGTCTTTGTGAAACAGCACAAACACCTGTGTACAAAATGTACTTAGAATACATCTTTCTTTATAGTAGTGTATTAATGAGTTGGATTTCCCCGCAAGGTTCGTAGATTGAAGGCAGTCGAGGAGTTTTTAGTGTGTCAGTGTGTGTTCGCTTTTTTCACTTGAAGTTAGCGTGGGATAATATGAATTCGAATGCCATACGGGTGAAATGATGGAATGAATATTTCGATATGAAGTTTGGAGATCCCTAGGTGAGGATAGAGCTCATCAGAAACACACAACATCGGAAATTGCTGGGAAAATTCATAAAACTAAGTGCAGATCTCATATGTTGAAAACATCGGATGTGGAATTTGGAAACTCGATGCAATGCATTTTGTGCATGTAGGTGAATCGGCCCGAAGTGATGTGATCACGACACGCTGCTGTGACAGGCCAGATGCGCCGTCACCACCACAGAGAATCCGACGGAGTTCGACCTCTATCACGATCAGCTACTCGATCACTACAGCTGGACTGCACTCCTGTGGTCTGGTCGGGTGGAATGTGTACGTAGACAACGGCGCTGGTGGGCCCTTCACGATGCATTACATCGACGATGGCAGTCAGCTCGAGTTCACGGCCACTGGCCTGAGTGGTGGCGCCTTCTATCTGTTTAAAGTGCAGGCCATATCGGAGTCGGGAGTTGGGACTGCGTCCAGTGTGGTGAACATATCGGCAGCAGACCCCCCTGGTTCACCTCTAGACCTAGCTGTCACTAACTCCACGGATGTATCGATCAGCTTGGCATGGAGTATGAATGGGGTCTCGGATGGTGGAGCTGTGGTGACTTACTACTACGTCCATGTTACGAGTGATGGTTATTGCAGTAGTTGGCTTAGTAGTCCGCAAGCAACAGTGTTCGCTTCTGGAGGTGTGCTCAACTACAGTGTGGACTGTACTTCTATCAGTGGCCTGGTCGGCTCGTTAAGTCAGCAGTACCTGTGTGTAGCAGTCTCGGCTGGTAACATGGCTGGTAGCTCGCCAAGGAGTGATCATGTGAAATGGAGGTGGGATCGAATTTGATTTTTTTTGTCGGCTAGAAACGCATGTACAGTTTCGGGTGTTTTTCATACCATTTTTTCTATTCGTGTATCTTTTTTATTACGTTCAGCGGAAATCTTCGCAGAGCTTCACACTGGGAATAATATTTCTCATAAATTGTGGATCTAGTGATGGGAGTTGGCAGGTGCTCGGACGTGCCGGACGCTCCATTGAGTGGTCCGACAGTGGACAGGCAGTACTCGTCGAGAACGGCAATGCTGTTGCAGTGGCCGACCCCTGGGGGCCTCCATGGGGCTCTGATAACGGGTTTTGAGGTTGATTACGATGACGGGCTGAATGGGCTGTACACCACGGTGAGAGTAGCATCAGCGACGGCGCGGTCACAGATGATATCAGGGCTGACTGCGGGTGGGTTGTTCGTGCTTTCCGATGTTGATTGTTATCGATCAGGTAGAACGTATAGGACTCGGTATAGGGTGGTCAGCGAGGTCGGCATGAGTTTGAGTTCACCTGTAGCAAGTCACCTGGCCGCAGCAATGCCCTCAGCTCCAAGTGCTCCGGTCTATTACAACTACACTGTGGCTGGTACGACTATGACGGTTGGTTGGTCATGGACGGGCGACAATGGTGGTAGCGCGATAATAGGATGGCACGTGAGCTCATCAGTGGTTTTAGTAGTTGTGATTGTGGTGGGCAGGTTTCTACTGGTATTACTCCGGACAACATGGGGTACCCTTTGGCGGTGCCGGTGTACTCGCAGTACTTCTCATTTGACTGTATGTTCGTGCGAGATGCCGCGAATAACACTTATAATCTTCATAATAATTACTCTTATGTGAAGGTAGGAAGGAGGGTGGTGATTTGGAATTGGAATGGTATGGCAAGACTTTTAACAATTTAGGTGGCCGCGCTGAATGCAGGGGGACCAGGGCAGTATTCACCTGTGAGCCGAGTGTGGTGCTCAGAGCGACCACAGGCCCCGGTGGTAGAGGCTGACGAGGATGCTACTGGTAGCAGTTCGCTCTCTTCAGCTGAGCCCTGGAGCTAATTATAGAAGTTTGGGTATGAATCTATGGAAAAAATGTACAGAAATCAGCAAGAATTTTCCGAATTGTCACCAACACATTTGGATGACTATGTGCTGATCGTGGTTGTCGTAGGTGACACTAGTGTTGGAATAAAATGGACTGTACCCAACGGCACTCTGACCTTTGGGGCTCCGTTGAAGTCGTTTGTCATCTATATGGGATCGAGCAACCTGAGCCTGGGTCTGCATGAAGAGGTTCTGGACACGGCTGTTACGACGTATAGAGTCACGAGTGGTATTGTGGCTGGTCGGGCGTACTACTTCCAAGTTGCTATAAAGAGTGCTGCAGCGGAGGGGAACAGGAGTGAGATGGTGGAGGTGCGGAGGTCCCGGGTTCGATCCCTGGCATGGCCATTTTTCATAATAGGTTCGAGCATGCAAAGAAATGGAGCTGCCTGATCCCCCATTCCGGGCTGACGGCAATGCTACTCACAATTTGATAGGGTGGTTGTCTCCGGTACACTACAGTTGCCCTATCACGGGCTTCCGGCTGTTCGCTCGGCACTCGGGAGTAACGTGGCAGAGCGTCTATCCCTACGTTGAAGGGCCAGGGGTGAACCTGACGAGTCCATTTGATCCGAGTCTGACAGCGTCGTGGGCAATGCAGCATTTTGTGGACTGTCGGGAGAGCGCTACGCTGGAGGCAGGTTGGATGGGATGCGTGATGGTCGCATACAGTGTGGGAAAATATGCACATGTTCTGAGGAAATTTCGGGACATTTTTATTGGTTTCTGAACACTTGTACTCGAATTCGTATGAAAAACTCCTGAGCTCAGCTGAGGGGAGGGAAGATATATTCTTACTCCAACACTGATCCTATGGGTCGCTGTGATTCTCTAAAGTTGAGGAAAGGCGTTGAGAGTGGTGGTAGGTGTCCTACTACTTGAGGGTCTACAGCACGAAGGGCTATCGGGACTCTGCTACGGTCACTCTGGCTTGTGCGAGCGTTCCTGCCAAGATGACCCTTCCCAGTCAGGTGGGAAAGTGATGCTGTTGTTATTGTTGATGTGGGTTGTGGTAGTCTGTTGGTCTGTCGACTTCCAATACTACTATTGGGCTCAACTGGACGGAGCCGGCCATGAACAATGGCACGGTGGTGGGCTATAGGGTGTATCGTGATGATGGTCCGAGCACTGCTATTGACCTGCTCACGCCGGACACCACATGTGGTCGGGAACTTATTCCATGTAAGGGGGGCGGTATGCACATGGAGGAGGTGGTCCCGACTCACTTGTTGTAGTTCCGACCTACTGCACGATCAGTGGTCTCAATACTGGCACTGACTACCAGATCCGTATAGCAGCTGTGAACACTATAGGAGAGGGACCGCTCAGCGACGTCGTCACTTTTACGGCGGGCAGCGCCCCTGGAGTGCCGAGTCGTCCTGTGAACACTTTCGCTAGCAACAGTAGCATGCTACGGTATCAGTGGACAGCTCCGGTCAGCAATGGTGAACCTATGTGTATTGGAGCTGTGTTGTAGACTGTGGTCAGGTATACCTCTATTGAGATATCGCTTCAAGCTGTGGGAGATCGGCGGTGGGATGGCCAACACGTGGATGGGGAGTGTTGGAAGCCCGCCTCCTCCTGATGTGAGATGAAGTCGTAGAGGCATTGGTCTTCACGTTGTAGTGTATTTCTATATCTGATATCGTAGAGTGATTTATCTCATCGGTTCGAGACTACGTGAGATGCCGCTGTCGTTGTTGTCGTTATTGTTGTTGTTGTTGTTGTTGTTGTTGTTGAGGAACTCCTAGCATAGAATCATGTTATACCCTTATTGCGGTACCACATGTAACCGTTTTCCGTATCATTAACCTGCCTGCCTGTTCATTTCTTCCATTGCTACTCAGGTGAATATCACTACTGCGGAGGTGCCCAGTCTGGCTCCTAGGAAGCAGTACCAACTGTGTGTCATGGCAGAGAACTCCCTCGGGTATGCTTTTGGTCTCTGTCGGGTGTTTCGATGAAGTTTCACGATCCGTTTCACAGCAGTGGCGTAATACTCTGTGAAAAAATCCGATATTCACAGTAGCTGCTGAGATACGTTTTTCACTAGTGTTTTTTCATATCACTAGGGTGAAACTCCAATGCTCTCAGTTGGTCGTCGGAGTGTAGTGAGTTGTCCAAGTCATTCATATCGGACTATGAGGACCATCTGGACCTGCCCGGCTGGACCCTCGACCGCCCCTCTTATGGTATGGCTTGGTGGTGGTTTGGTCGTTGGTGATCGCGGCTCAGGAGTGAGCGCTAGTATCTGGCGTAACGACACTGATTGGCCACGAGCTGGTAGTGTGAAGTTGCGATGGAGTGAAGTGTTTGACACTGGTGGAGATGACCTGGCGAACATAGAGTAGGGAGATGCGCATGTGCGTGTTGGTGACGATGAGGAAATTGTTGTTTGTTTTTGTACAGTTCTATAGTGAGGAAACTCTTGAGCTCAGCTGAGGAGACTAAACACGTTTGCATCACTTCATCAGATATCAGCTGCAGGGTGGTGCCAACGCGGCTTCCTATGAGGTCTTATATAATGGGACACAGCCGTGGGTTCAGGTGAGGGCGTAAGTGGTCACCCTGAGTGGTGCTGAGCTGAATGTAGGTCAACTTGACCAGTGGTCTCACATGGCTCTTCCGAGCTCGAGCACGCAATCGCCGTCAGGACTGGTCTGAATTTGGCGCGGTGTTTTTGGCAACTAGTTGTGACCTGCCGTCCGCTCCCACCAACTTTAATATAACGGTAGCAGAGGCCTTAGTCTGCTGGGTACAGATCTGCTGTGAATCAGGTGGGAACCTTCATCGTGGCAAGTTGGTCTTCACCTATGAGTGCTGGAGGTGCTTTTATCACTGGGTATAAGCTGTGTAGCACCAGCGAGGCGCAGTGTGTTGCTGCGAATAGTAAGGCGGGCCTTCAGCTGTGGTCAGTTGCTGAGGTGTGACTTAGGTACTACCGTTTACCATCAATGGTCACGACCGACCGTCTCGGCGAACGTGACGTTCACTGTCCAGGCTGAAAACGCCTGTGGTTTTGGCACAGCTTCGTTGCTGGAGTGCGACCCGTCGAGCGGCGGATGTGTGTACAATTGCTGTTCTAGTTTCAGATGATATACCTCTGACCATGTGAATATTATGGTGATTTCGTGAACTGCTCGTGGCCTTGTGTTGGTCGTGAATTAGCTTATGGGGGAAAGTCGTCATAGCGATGGTTACTCGGATGTGTTCATGAAAGTACTACAATGCTATGATGCACAAAGTCCGTTCTGTGTTAGGTGGCGCAGTGTTCAGTTATTTATGTGCTTTCCTCGGCTGAGCTCAGAAGTCACCTCTCCTACTATGCAAGTTCACATACGAGTTGGAATAGAAGTGTACAGAAACCAATTGTAATTGTCTAAACTACCACATGTAGTTGACCATGTGCATATTTTCCCACGTTGGGGCGCGCGCTCAATGGAGCTGAGATGGTCGTGGAAGGGCCGTGCGAGTTCATACTAGAGGGCGATAAGTTTCCGAGGAGCTGTCGGGGGCCATTACTCCCATCACAAGTGAATCTACTGTGCCGAATGTTTTCAGTTCTATATACGTCCGATTTTCGTCTATTGTCATTAATGGCAGGCGTCGAGGGCCCAGTAGCGATGATGAGTTTGGTCCCGACTAGGGTGGTCAGCAACAGTTCGGCTCTGCAGCATCAGCGGCAGCAGCAGCAGCTTGGACCGCCAGCTGCAGAATGTTGTGCATTGGACTCATGTGACGTTGAGAGCTTTGAATTGGGCAAGACGTTGGGCACGGGCTCGTTTGGGAGGGTCCGCTTCGCCACGCATAAGGCGAGTGGAAGGCACTACGCGCTGAAGATGTTGAAGAAAGCTGTCATTATAAGACTAAAACAAGTAAGTAAATCGATAGTCGCCCTTTGATATGCATCGGAATCAGGTTGATCACATTAACTCGGAAAAGACGATCCTCAAGGCGATTCATCATCCCATGATTGTCAACCTCTACGGGTCTTTTCATGATAGCCGTTATCTCTATCTGGCCCTCGAGTAGTCCAGTTGCTTCTTTAGGAGGAGGCTGAGGAATGTTTTGCAGGTATGTCGTTGGCGGCGAGTTTTTCACACACTTGCGTAAAGTTGGGCGATTCGAAAATGAGACTGCCCGATTTTACGCGGCTCAAATTGTGAGGATATTTGAATATCTCCACTCTAAGAATATCATCTATCGAGACCTCAAGCCTGAGAATATCCTTCTTGGTGCGGACGGGTATCTTAAGCTCACAGACTTTGGATTTGCAAAAGTGAGATGATCGAGGAAATGTTGACTATGCTTGTTTCCAGCAGATAGTTCACCAACGCACATATACCCTATGTGGAACGCCGGAGTACATCGCGCCTGAGGTCTTGTTGAATAAGGTGAATTTGGTCAGGGTTGCTCATGTGGAGACCTGAGTTTTAATGATAAATAATGCGAGAATTATTCGACGCTAGGCTGAATAGCTATGGCAGAATGAGGCACTCACCACGTAGATATACACGGAGATACACAATTGGAAAATTACATGGTATTGTACTATTTTCGATTCACAATTAGAGGCCTCCTTGTTCGAAGGAGTTGAGTGATGGGTTGTAGGGCCATGGTAAAGCAGTGGACTGGTGGACTTTGGGAATACTCACATATGAGATGATGGTTGGATGCCCGCCCTTCGTAGATGAGGACCCCATGGGTGGGGATTACGGAGGCCCGGGTATGTCCTCGCAATTTGAGTAGTAGGTATATATCAGAAGATCCTGACAGGGAAAATAGTATTTCCTCGGTCCTTCGACAAGCATGCTAAAACTCTTGTGAAGAAAATGCTCACTGCTGATTTGAGTGAGGGATCTGTGATTGATGTGGATTTGCAAATGTTGTTATAGCCCAACGTTATGGGACGCTGAGAGGCGGTGTGGATGATATCAAAAAATGCAAGTGGTTCGCAGGTGAGAACTTTAGTGTAGGAATTTTGCTGGCTGAGCAAAGGCGTCTTGTCCCAGTGTGTTAGGCTACTAGATAACACTGTTATCTGCTTTCGATACGCTCGTATGTGTACTAAGGCTGAACGTCTTCGTAGGTATATCGTGGGAGGCGCTGTACAGGAAAGAGATCGAGTCTCCCTATAAGCCAATGGTGAAGTCGGCTACTGATACCTCTAACTTTGAGGACTACCCTGACTCGACAGATCTTGCCCCCATTGTTAGTGCCATTGACGATCCTTTTGTGTCCTGGTGATGACTTCTATAAGTGGTTCTTTCGTCCTTCTCCTCATTACTCTATATTACATATTTCTCTAAAACACTTATGCCTGAGCTTAGATTAAATACTTTTAACGCCGCAGTGCGTCGTAGGCAGTACAGCTCAGACGATGCTCATCTGCTGCTCTAGTTTCCCTCTAATTGACGGTGAGTGTTGAAGCACCCTGTTGGGCCTAATTATCATTTCCTGCTCTGAAGCACCGCAGTCCAGTTGTGTTCGGAATATAGGTCCGTGTGATATTGGGCTATCTCGAGTCCTCGGTGGAAGCAGTTACTTTTGCCTGTCGTGATCCGGTTTCTCATTGTTCAGAAATGAGAGTTACTGGAGAAGGCGAAACTGCAGGGTTGAATGACCTGGAAAGCGCCGAAACTGCAGCGTCTAGCGAGGTGGAATTTCCAGTCACTCGAAGCCCCGAAACGGTCGGACTAGCTGTGGAGCTTAACTGCAAGGAGGAGGTCTTCACGGCTGGTACGGAGGTTACGTAAAAGGAACCTCGAGTGGATGACGCTCATCGCCTGGCTAGGATCTCGTAGTCTGAGTTGGCCCACCGAGACTTCAGAGCATTCTATGTTGACAGTGATGGTGACAACTGTCCGCTCATCGGAGAGTCATCGGCGGACTTGATATTGCTAGCCTGGGAGTGTCTGACCACTACAGAAGAGAAGAACTCAGAACGTCGCATAAACCTCTTTCTCCAGCTCAGTCGAGGACAGGTTCGCAGGCAATGAGTTGATCCCCTCTATGTTGTAAGCATCCATGAAGCGTTCGGTGAAAGCAAAGTCTTTTGCTCTGGCTGTGATGAACGATAGAAACGTCACAATGGAGACAGTCCGCAATGGAGGCGGTATAAGGTGTGTCAAGGGAAGGTGTGGCTGCATAGGGAAGTTCATGATATGGTTGAAATAACGAGAAATACCCAGGAAATGTCATTAGAAATATCATCCATGGACGGGAAAATTGTTATCATCCATGCATGTCGAAGAAACCACCAACTTGTTAACCGTTTTAACCTGCTAGATACGACTAGCTGTACCACGTTTGTGTAAGAGGTGCTCCCCAATCATCGACCAAAGTGGACAACCACTGGTTTGAGGTGAGCTCTAAAGCCACTCATACCTGGTTTCATCTCTTATTGTCGCACTGAATACCGTTCTGAGCTCATGTCATTGCAAGTTGCGAGCCACTTGTTAGTAATAATGGTTCCGATGTTTCAGCTGAATTGAAGCACAGTTGCTGTTCCCGTCGTCGAGAGCCAAACTTTGGCTTCCAAAGTATTGATTTGGGTCACAAAGCCACCACAGCTCATCTGGGCATTACCCGAGAAATCAGCTGGTAGAAATGAACCCCCTCACGAAGTAATAGAACATACAGTATTTTTTCGATTTCTCTGTTATTACTGCGACTCAGCCTGAGTCACTCAGGTTGTGAGATTTCGTGTGTGAGGGTATCACTTATGTAGGAACAAAAATATATCAGAGTCGTATCATTATTCGCTCGCTTTAGTAAAATTTCTGAAACGGTCAATTTTTCCGCGCTTCCAAAAAAATAGAACCCACCAAGGTCATCTTAAATTGGCACTGTAATTCAACATTCCTGTCACTGAGGAGACACGATTCACACAAAAAGAAGCTAACAGTACCTCGTAGGGCCACCTTGACACTTAATCGCCTCTACACAGCGACTGCGAGTCGACTTAGTGAGAGTGCTGATATCTTCGGGTGTCAGGTCATCCCAGACTTCAAAAATTGCCTGTCGGAGTACATCCTTGGTACTGTAGGGGCCTCTACCCCCTCCATAGACGGCTAGAGCCATCCTGCCCCAGCAGTGCTTGATGCAGTTCAGATCTGGACTCACTGCTGGCCACTGAACGGTTGCCACGCCATTGCGTGCCAGCCATTCTTTAGTTGAAGAAGATACGTGAGGCCTCGCATTGTCTTGTTGGAAGGTGTACTCGATTCCTTCCTCCTCCCCCGCTTCCAGGAATGGTAGCAAGTTCATCTCCAGCATGGATTGGTAGACCTCGCTGTTCATGTTGCTCTGTATTTCCAGCAGGGCTACTTTATGAGATCCAGCTATCCCACCCCAGACCATGATAGACCCACCACCAAACGCTCTTTTCGACAGAACCGCTTTCTCTTGTCCGGGAAACATCCATCGGTAGCGCAGGCCGTCTGGGCCGTCCAAGTTGAATCGCTTTTCGTCAGAGAAAATCCACGTCGAGAAATCAGTCTCCGCAAGCAAGTGCTCGGAGGCAAAACTCACTCGGGCTGCTTTATGGGCCGGAATTAACCTTGGAGCTGCTGGAATCTTAGCATAAGCAGCCCCGCTCGACCTCAGAAAACGCCTTACCGTCTGTGGGGACACGCTAAGCTTACAAATACGCACGATCTTGGTGCACCTGACGTCGGGATCCTTCGCAAACTCTCTCATGATGTGCCGTTTCTGCCTATCGGATAATACCGGCTTGCGCCCACGTCGCTCGGGAGGCTGGGGCGGGTAGGTCTGGGGTGCCTTCGCGAGTATCTTGCTGACAACTGGCCTGGATACTCCGTGGCAGCTGGCAATCTCACTATGGGTATATTTAGCCTCACCGCTCGGTAGGCGAGTGCTTCCCATGATACGGATGAGCTCCTGTGTATGTGGAGTAACAGCTTTAGCGCGGGGCATATGCGAATAGTCGCTCTGTGATCAATACGGATCCGTCTGAGATGGTGTTCTATTTTTTTGGAAGCGCGGAAAAATTGACCGTTTC